TCTCCGTGGCACGGAATCTCCGTGACCCGAAGTCTCCATGGCACGGAGTTCCCGAGGCACGGAGTCCCCGAGCCGAAGTCTCCGTGGCCGGAGACTTCGTGCCACGGGGACTCCGACCACGGAGATTCCGTGGCACGGAGACTCCGAGCAAGAAGATTCCGTGCCTCGGAGTCTCGAGGCACGAAGTCTCCGTGGCACGAAGTCTTCGTGCCTCGGATTCTCCGTGGCTCGGAGTCTCCGCGGCCGGGAGTCTCCGCGGATGCCCCGGGGTTCCTGACCACTCAAGCTCCAAGGGAGCTGCCGTCTGGCGCCCCGGGGGCTTTCAGCGCCACCCTAGTGACGCTGGCGCCGGCCGCGGCCGACGACTGCCACGTATTCCTTTGCGCACTCCTATTTATAACCTACGCGAAAAGGGCGAAAGGAAACGAAAGGAAACGAAAACAAACGAAATTAATTAGCCAATTTTCGAGCATTGTTATTGGTCGCAGAACAGCATTCTACAAATTTGTTAATATACTCGCGAATTAATGTATGAAATTTATCTCCTCAGTAACAAGGACGAAATGAACGAGAGAAATTTAACAAGAGCAAAAATATTCATTTTAGGAGGTCCACGAGAGAAATTTTCCGAAAAAGATATTGAACATATAAACGTAAGTATCACAATTACTAAATGAAGAGTACTTTTGTGTATTAATTTATTATATAAGTCCAGAATGGTGGTTCAGCTTAATCGACAAGAATTGATTTGCAAGCACATTTTTCGACATTTATTTAAATTGTGCAAAAACTTGTTCAAGCGCATACATTTTATTTTACATGTATGAAAAGCTTATAAAGTTCTCTACATAACTGCATATAACGATTTTCAACTTTTGGAACAAAAACATGACGAAAGATTTGGTTAAAATTAACTTAGAAGCATTTGAGCCCTTGGGAGAAAAGAAATTCGAAATTGTCCATATTAAGGACCACCCTAATACATACATACATACATACATACATACATACATATATATATATATATATATATATATATATATTATATATATGATATTCATATTTCTATTACCTGTAACAATCATCGATGTTCACACAAAATGCTTTATTGACAACTCTTAAAACAGCATCTCTAGAAGTTGTAAAATATGAATCAGCATTTTGGATTCTCAAAAAAGCATTTCTGGAACACTCAGTGTATACAGAGTATCCTCGACAGGCTATTTCAAATAGCAAATCTTCCATTCCAAAAGTATCCATGCTAATAACTATTTTCATGTTTGAATAATTCCTAAAATCAAAATTTTAATTACAAATTTGTTAGAAACATTTCAGTTTATATTTTCAATATATTTGGATATTTATTTCATCTTTGACTATTTCTTATACAATATATAAGAATAAATACTTGTAAAATACAAAATTGTAAATATTGAAAAGAATGTATGGATAAAATGAATAATTCAATATTTAAGCATTTCTTAATTAATTTATCATATTAAATCAATCAGTCAGTCAATTATTCGTTTCTTTTTATACAGTTGAGACTTTTAAATAATTTGTCACTAACATTAGTATTAAATTACGAAGATATTTTTTATTTATGTATCAAATAGCATTTTGAGGTACTTTTTTATACAATTTTAAACTACTTAAATTGTTACAAGTAATCATCAGTATATCAAAGTATATCAAATTTTAGTGTTTAATATCAATATTATATATTTATATCAAACAAGTTTTTCATAAATAAATAAAAAAATTATAATAAATTCAAAAAAATATTTAAATCAATTCTCATTAATTTATTTTATCAATGTATTTAAGAATATCCCTTCTTGTTTTGAAATAACGAAATGCCTTATGTTATTATAATGAAATATTATAACACACTGTATAGTTGTAATTGTTTTTTTTTAAATGTGATAAAAATATCTATTTATTTTCAAGTGTATATAAAAGTTTTTACTAAAATTTAGTAAATTTCATCTATTGTTTACTAATATAAATAAATTAAAGTGTCTAGAACAAAATTTTCAAGTTGTTTGATAAAATGTGGACAGACACAATTTCGCAGTTAAAAGCAGTTAAAAATTATACCAAATTTTAGTAGCTAATAAGATTCAAGACCACAATTCCAATTAATTTTCACTAAATTTTATTTTGTACCTGATGATACTTTCAATCTTATCAGCACATTAAAATCAACAGGAACATCAATAATAGAACTGTCACAAATTAAAGTATCAATCTGTTCTTTCTCCCCTAAATCTTTGATGTATGAACTGTTTAAAATATTGGACGTTATGCACAATTTTCCAGTGTATAAATAATCATGATCATTACCTACAAAAGAAATAAATATATAATATATATATATATATATATATATATAATTTATTATTATTCACTTACATGTAAAATGATACATCACAGTTCCAGTCAAACTCTGAGTATCGATCGCTGTGACATAAAACTGGAAATCGCTTACAATGATCAGAGTTTTTTTTTCTATATGTGAGTGGTCGTAGTAAATCCTTATTTATCTAACAAATAGTTAATATTTATAGTACATATTAATATTAATCAATATTAATTATTAATTAATTGTTATATATATTATGATTTACTTTGGTGAAATATGCAACTGCTCTTAAATTTGGTTCCGATGAATAAATTGGATATGGCCATGTACTGTTGATGGCCGAGCTGATGTCTGGTGATATTTTACTTAAGAAGTAAACTGTTTTGGGAGACTGGAAAAAAATAAATATGTATTAATATAAATAAATAAATAAATATATATATATATATATATATATATATAATTTTGTGATAAGAGTGGAACGAATATTAAATGTTAAATATGAACAAAACAACACTTTGATAATTACAGACGTTTTTCATTACTGAGTCAAGCTTTGCAAAGATTAGTTGGTGTTTTTTTGTATATCAAAAATTAAATGTAATTAAATAAAATATTAAAAAATGTGTAGTATATAAGTAACTGTTTTTGAAATTACAATGAATATGAGGCATACCATGGTCTCAAAACATCTGTAATTATTGAATAAAGTGTGTGTTAAAAATCTGAGTGTTGTATATACATATATTTAAGTAGAACTTCAAACAAAAAATCTAAACAAAAACCAAGAAATGTATAAATTAGTGAATTTTGATTATCATATTATATAAATTACTTTCACATTCACTTTCAGGACAAAATTTGTATATTATGCATTTTAAAATACTTAAAATAGAATTTGTTTATAATAATATAAACAAATATATTTTGTTTATAAATAAATTGTAAATACTTCATGAATTCTTGTGTATGAATTAGGAATAATATTGCAAGGTGCATGTGAGCGCGTACTATAGTAAATTCCGATTTTACTAGCAACAAATCCTTGTTTGTATTTTTTAAATTTAATACATATACTAAGGAATAACCAGGTAAATTTTATGTACCTTAAGTATTAATTGTATAGACACGACAAAATATTAAGAATGGTACTTTACGCATATTAGAGCCTGGAAGACGAAAGCAATAGTGCACGTGCTTCACAAATACAAATTGCTAATTTCTAGGTAATTTGTTAAAACTGTATGCAATTTTATATTTTTCATGTACAGTATATATTAAAGAATAACAACTAACTCAAAATTTATAAATTTCAACAAACTTTCAAAATTGGCCCAAAAGTCAGTTAAACTTGAGTACAAACATGCCTCGCGCTACTTGTGTAGTAAGTTGCTGATTTTTTATTAGAAAAATATCCGAGTTTATATTTTTTTTAATTTAATTAACGTATCAACAAACAAATACTGAAGTTTCAACACCCTGGCACAAACAACAAAAACATGCCAGGCCCACAAAACCAAATTTTCAAACACACCTTAAATCTACCATATTAATCTTTTATAATCTTACCTTTTCGTCAGCCCATGTATAATATTCAGCAATTTCACTTGTTCCTTGTGGTGTATTGCTCAATTGAACAAGACAACTCTCTCTCCCTTCCCACACCATTTTCCTCATTTCACCACACCTTCATCGCACCCGAGGGTGCTCCTGGGACTCGCACACTGACCCTCCATGTGATGCACCCAGTTTTTCAACCGGGGCGATCCAGGGGTGTTCGTCGCGTGGAACCCCCCTATAGTCTACTAACTGATAACTGATCTACTTTGAAAGTCAAAAAATTAAAATAAAGCAACCATATATACCTCTTCTCAAAGATTACACACGTTGTGCATGTTTTGAATGAAATATTGAGACATAAACTTATAATTATTAATGTCATTTGAAAATGGTATTTTAATGTTTATTTATTAAACCCTCATTAAACAGTCAATATTCTCTGTGATATTTGTATAAGCAAGAAAAATAAATTTAAATGAGAGCTGTAAAAGAAAGGTTAATGGCAATATATATGGATAACAGATCTGATTATATACCCAGATTCAATAGAAGTAAATTTGATAGATCATACACAACTTTGAAACAATTATTTCAAAATTAATAGACTGCATACAAATATCTCAAATAAATTAAATTTTTAGTCTGTATTGAATGCAAAATTTTCAACAAACGTGGTGTATAATAAGTATTTAATTAAGCCGTTTAATATTATTTGTGAAAACTCATAGTTATTTTTGTATTAACTTCAATAAAATGTAATATATAAGTTGTTAAAAAAATAATATACACGATAAAATTTATTTTGTTCAATAATTAGTACAATAAAGTAAATGAATACAATAAGTTTTTTAATATACTAGTTTAAATGTAACTTTTCTAATTTTGAAATGATTATTGATAACACAACTATAAAAAAATGTAATACATAGTCGGTTCTCAAAATTACTAAGTATGGATATAAAATTAAAAATATAATTAAGTCTAATATTTCTTATTCAAATGACAACATTCAGACCACGTCCTACAGTGTAAAGATGTTTTAAAAGGTGAATGATTACACATAAATGCCATGAATTCCTAACAATAATATATAGTAAGATACAAGTTTAAATGTTATGTATATGAAATATGTGGTTATTATGCAAATAAAATTTTAAGCACGTTCACCACGGATTCGCCGAGCCAACTGGATATCCTTAGGCATAATAGTTACCCTCTTAGCATGAATGGCACACAAATTGGTGTCTTCAAACAAGCCTACGAGGTAAGCTTCACTGGCTTCCTGCAGAGCGCCAATAGCAGCTGATTGAAAACGCAAATCTGTCTTGAAATCCTGGGCAATTTCTCTCACCAACCGTTGGAAAGGTAATTTACGGATCAACAATTCAGTAGATTTCTGATAACGACGGATTTCACGAAGGGCGACAGTACCTGGACGATAACGATGGGGTTTCTTGACGCCTCCAGTGGATGGAGCACTTTTACGCGCAGCCTTTGTGGCTAATTGTTTTCGTGGAGCTTTTCCTCCGGTTGACTTACGAGCAGTTTGCTTAGTACGAGCCATTTTGAATTATGTATGAAACTTGAGGAATTGAAGTGCAATGCTAACACAGCTCGAATGAACACAATGAACTCGGACGGCTTGTAAAATATTTTTACTTACAGATCTGAAGACGTACACCTGGAAAGCAGATGAACAATATCTTTAATTATACTGATAAATTGAGAAATTCAGTATGAATTAGAAACGAGGTTATACTAACGTCAATAAACCAGATTCCAGGTAAATCAACTAAACTTGTATCGATTTCGTCACTACATAAAAAAACACAGAGTCTATAATATAGATGCACATAGACATAACGGGCGAGTCCATTAAACTGTCATCTGATACGGCTTGAGCGCTCATGGCGGACGGACAGCGAACTAACTCCTACTATACAAAGATAAAAGAAGAGCTAGCTAGACGTCTCAAATTTAAGATCGACTGTTTTTATTAGTTTATTTTAGAAATTTATAGTTTTTCGATTAATTATTGACCTTACTTGATATATAAATGAAGCTTAAATCGACTTTCATTTTCACTTCAAAACTAATTACTCGAATTTCCAATTGATTTTATATCGATGAAACAAATTTGTAAAATATTAATAAATTAAAAGAAAATTACTTTTATTCCAAACTTTTATAAATTAAAGCTAGATAAACCACTTCTTGTAGACTTCTGATATTTTAGGATGCCACCAACTCTATTACGATAAAGTTTCAAGAAAATCATAATTTTTTTTGTCAATAATAAATTAGTAATTCTTACTTCAAACTAATCAGCATGATTGCTAATTAATATTTTCAGAACAATTTCTGAATTTATAAAATTGATTCAGGTATTTTGGTTGACAACGTAGACAAAAAATTTTGATATTATCATTTAATTCTAAAGTAACGGCTAGGACAATCGTAGCACTATCATCAACATGCTACGATTAGTTTAACAAAACTAATCGGTGTAGCCGTTTTTGAGAAATTAATTTTTCGTAAACTTTCTGATTTTACTTTCTAAATTTAATGCCATACTGCTTATATACTTTTCGAAATTTCAAGTTCTTGAAATGTCGAATAGTATATAAACAGTATATGAATTCAATGCCAAATTCAAAATTGCATCCAATGAATTAATGGAAACCGAAGAACTTAGGTAATACATGTTGTTTAATATTTTGGAAGGAGTCAAAACATGATATTTTATATAATATAAAATATTTTTAACACAATTTGTATATAGCCTATATATCGAAAATGAATTGAAAAGAGTTATATTTTATGAAAACGACAACGACTACACTTCTATATCTTTTTAAAAGAGAATTTTGTTCAAGAACAAATAATGAAAATACGAGTTATTATTAAATTTTAACTTTCATATATTATTTGTTTTGTAGTATCCACAACAGCATGTTTTTGTTTTTAAATATCATATCAATGCTTTTGATTGAAGTATTTCAACAAATAATAATACAATTGTATAATTTATTTACATTAATTATTTTAATACATAATTTGACAGTGATCTTATTTGATGTAAAAAAATGCCTCATAATTCAATATTTTCAATAACTCAATTCTAAGTAAAATTAAAGTATATATTGAATATTTATCAATACTATTCTTCATAATTATTTGCTTTCGAACATTAAAACATAATCAAAAGAAGCTTTATAGAGATTACTATTATTTGATTTCTGTGAAATGTTCACAATAAGAAATCAACTTTAATTTTAAAATTAAGCTCGAAGTCTATTTTGAAAACAACACTGCAAATCGTATATTTTCATAGTAGTCCAAACGATAAAATTTAAATTAGAACATATTTTGATTAGTTTTGTTGCATTTTGAACACAAATTATTTGCTAATATTGGATATTCATATTTAAACCTTCAGTAATATATCATATGACTAATTTTGAGAGCATATCAGAGATTTTTTGGTAAAGTTTTTTTGCAGTACGGTATTAAAAAAAAACAAGATACAAAATTTAAACTACATGAAATAAAAAATATGTCTTTCTATATATAGAAATGGCATTAGGACAAATACTATCAATTCTCAAATACAATACCAGTAATTTTGAAAAAAATAGAAGTTAAAAAAAATATTTTTAAATAACATCACTATCAAAATATTTCAAGCGACACAATATTACAAATGCCATAATATGTAAGCATGTATATATAATACGTACAAAGAAAATCCAAGAAATGGATTTTCTTTCAATAACGATCAATAACAAACAATATAACAATTTTTGCCGATCTTATACTTAACAACGTTTTCATTGTTAAATTAAATCGTAGAAATACGATATTCATAAGTGAAAACGCAGTTTTGTTTCAGATCAGCTTCATAGTGTACTTAACATTATATTAATATTTATATAGATTACTTAAATATTCAGTTTGATTACATTATATCTGCACATCACTTTAATTTACACATATTTATAAGTTTTTTTATTAAAAGGTACCATAGGTCGATAGTTTTTCGTCCACTTAAAGTATTAATTTCTTTGGCACATACTGGTGTGTGTGGGTAAATGTTTTAACTTATCATTAGCCGACGATCATGTAAATGAACTAGAATCATTACGATTATAAAGAAATAATTAATACCTCTAAATAAATTGCCTTAATAATTTAAAAAAAAAACTTATATAATGCAAGCACATATTATTTAAAGGCCTGTTCACACGACGCTTGTTTTGCTGCTTTTTGGTCGGCTGGCTGCCAGGTTGGTTATCAAATAGACAAAATGACGTCGTTTTGATTTCCATTTATTTCTAGCAATCAAAATTTTGATATCAGAACGTGCGCTATTTTTGTGGCGCTTGCATATCATCGACTTCTTTGTTTTCTGGGCTGGCTACATAGCATGCTTGATTTTTAAGTGTGATTTGTTTTAGATTGGTCGATTTATGAGTGTGATTTGTTTTGGCTTGCTAGATTATCAAATATTATAAATCACAAGACCAAATACTGTCTCTCCCTATTGGTTCAAACAAACAAATCCATCTACAAAAGTTCTTCGACAGTTCGAAGTATCTACGTTGAGGCTGATTAAAGGTTACATCTATACGTAAAATTTACGTTTTAATAACGTACCCATCACCATCAACGACTTAGGTGCTACGTTATTTCAACTTAATTGAACGTTTGTGGTTTACTGGGTTTTATAGAAAGCTAGCTAATTACCAACTTAAATCATCACACATATTTTTTTTATAATCTCCTACATTATAAAAAGAGCTTACGTTCTAAAAAAATAATAAAGATAAATATAATATTAATTAATTTTATTTATTTTACTAGAGAAAAGTGGTTCCATTGACTCGTGATCGTCGGCTGTTTATGATACAAACAATTTATGCAATAGAATAGCTAAGACCGCTTTTTCATCAATTTAACATTTTAGATAAGCTATTATATACATAGATGTTTTTAATTAATTAATATATAATATTTATTTGAAGAGCTTCGCCCAACTCTATGTGGAACATGTAATAATTTAATCTGAATATGCTATATAATTTAAATGCTGCCAAATACTTTGAGAAATTAGTTGGATCATTTGATTAAATAATTCGCTTTTTTGTTTGGTAACTAGTGTTGACTTGTTTATTTAAAATAATATTTAACACTCTTATCCACATCCATATATTCTATCCATAAACAGCCCGGTTCAAAAAATTGTTTAATATTAATAGTTATTGTGCTTATGCAAAGATATATTTTATATACTGTGAATATTATGATTTGCTTTATATATAGCATTCAAAATTTTATTTGCGGTGCATGTGTAAATTAAAGCTTTTAAAATTTGCCTTGGTTCAATTTAATATTGATCAAAAAGCTGCCTTAGCTTCGGATTAATATATTTACAAAAATAATGTACGTTTTCATAGATGAATTTTATGCATATACATACAGATGTGAGATTTTCAGATATTTTGTTCTGATTGTATATCGCCTGCCCTCCCGATATAATATTTTTGTTTCGATAATGATTCAAAGCTACGTCTCCAGTTTGTAATAAAATCATTATTCTATTTATAATAAAATACTCAACTTTCTTAACATATAATCTAATAGTAGCAATTCGTTGATTTCAAAAAAAATATCATAACCAACGATAGAGTAAGTAACGAAAAATTGCCTTCAAAAAGAGTTAAAATCTATGTTTTTAAATTTGGCATTGTGTCATCAGATAACTTTCATGGTAAAATTGATATTATAGAATGATATATTTATTATAGTTTGGTTTCTTCAATTAATTGTGAGAAATTCAATTACATAAAATATATTATTTATCCATAATGAATATCAAAATCTCAAAACTTGATTTTATTTTACTGAATGATTCAAATAAAAAAGCAACCATTTAAAAAAAAATATATAGTTGTTTAAATATTGTAAATACTGATGGTTTGGTTCATTAATATTTTCTGTTCGTAATTTTATCCTATTGATGAACTGCAAAAAATATTGAACATTTCTCTCTAAAACGGTGATGGGGCTTTCATTAATATCCTGCGAGTTTTAGACAAAAGGGGTTTGACAAAAATCACAAAATATTGCCTGGAAAAGGAAGTGGTATAGTAAAATATCACGAGTATTTATTTTTTACCTGAATTTTTTAAAAAAATCCAGACATTTTCAGAAAAATATTACAAGTTTTACGGTTTTTCAAAAATACAAGTAATGTTTGGTTGGGGAGGAGAGGTAATTTTGAATATCACCAAATACCACCAAGGAAAAAGGGGTCCAAAAATTCTTAAAAAATCTATTACGTGATGGACGCCCCCTTGTAACCATTTAAGTTTACTTATGACACAAATATCGATTGCAAAACTTCTACGATACTAAAATAGTATAAATAATCTGATAAATTATAATAGAATAACAAAATTATACCAAACTGGTCCTAATGGAATGAGGTGATGTAATCATGACTCTATTTTTGAGATGATAATCATTGCTTTAATTTCTGATGATAATCTGATCGCTTGAAAATAACGATTTCAAATATTTAGTTACTTGCGCATTATACTAATATGAAATGATTTTTAAGCTCATTTACAATTTTGATATATACTAAATTTATTAGTATTATATGAGAACATAAGGCATTTAGAAATGATTTGAATTCATTATTCAAGCATTTAGTACTAAAAATAATATTATAGCAAAATACCATTAATATTAAAGGATAATTCATAAATAAAAATAAGTCATCAAAAATTATTTTTAATGTAAAATAGAATTTGAGTAAATTAATTAGTAAATATACGTCGATATGATGCCAATTTCTTGAATCGTAAACCCATAAAACTTATAATAATTACTTGATATTAAATGTAATTAAATTTTTAGGTGTTATTTAATGCAATTAATTTTAATAATAAATAATTTAAAAACTAAATTTTTTAATAATTTGAAGCATTCAAATTATTAATTTTATAAAATAATTTATTTCATGCGATCAATTCGTATTTTAACCGTGCCACACATTAGTACAACATTTTCATCATTGTTAAGAAATGTAATTGTTTCATAATTAAGTTATAGATATGAAAATATTGTGATGTGTGGCATACTTTTAGATTTTCATTAGTTTTAAAATCTACCATCACCATTCTCTTATATAAAAATCCCATTATTAAATTACTTTTGGTCGTTTTCGAGCGTTGCTTTGTCGGTGAGATCAACCCCTGGTTCGGGGGCGTCTGGATCGGGCTCCGAAGCGGGCAGGCAGAGCAAATGTTATGCTTCCAAAAATATTAAAGCTGTGGGTTTAGGTTCCAAATTGGATTTCTTTGCTTCCACAACTACGAAATTTATATCAGGTGTATCTCGTCGAGCAAAACATTCTGCAATCAAACGAGCAACATCTTGATGAGGCATTCCTTCCACTGATCTGCCGTCCACCTCTAGTATCAACTGGCCAACTTCCAGACCACCGGCACTAAATGCAGCACCGTTTTCCTAATAAATAGGACATTAATAGATACATAACGGTAACAAGTTCATTAACTAATAGTAGCAAAATACAATAAAATTTGTAAGTTACTTGTGGAAATTTATTTAACGATAATAATCGATTAAATTAGCGCTTCATCTTGTTCAAATAATATCATAAAAATATTGGTTTAGAAAACGTTTACACAGTGTATAAATTTTATGGATACATTAAATAAATTATCTTAGTAATGATTTTTTCCACAACAGTTATTTGAAGCTTGCCCTAAAAATTTTTTGGACTAATTTTCTAACAACGCTAATAATATTCTAGACAAAAAATTTATTTAAATTATGCACATATAAAAATAAAGAGAAATTACTATAACTTGCCCTACGGGAAGTTAAAATCGATTTCAACTTTCCAACAGATTTTTCCTTATTGAGTTGAGAAGTTCTAGGATTTTTTTGAGTTAGATACTCTGTTTTTATGTAACAAATAGATATAAATGCACTTTTAAAAAGTTTGAAAATATATTGACGAATGCTTTTAATGCAATGATGATTGTTTTTTGATTGTCGATATAACCGATAATAATGTCATAGAATGAGAGTTGAATTTGTGTGTGAATGATATATATATATATATATATATATATATATATTGTATATATATATATATTTGTATACAACTCTATAAAATTATTTGGAAAAAATGATTAAATTTGCATATAAAATTCTGCTGTTGTTTTTAAATATTAATATCTTTTTTTAGTACTAATTAAAACATTTAACCGATCGCATTATTGATCACTGAAAAAAAATATATATACAAATGTGAAGAACTTCTATTTTAAAAGAGCGTTAACTTCAACAAAGAGAGAAAAATATATCATATGACTCTTATGGCTTCAGTATAAAAACTCTAAAATAACTAAAATTTTATATTTATTAACTTCCCGTAGGGAAAGTTATAGTAACCGCAAAAAATCGAAAATGAAAATTTTTATAGATCTTTACGTTTCAGAAGTTTTTGAATATTTTGGCATACCTTGTTTGGCAAAAATGGATGTATGTGTGTGTGTGCGTGTATGTATGTATGTGCGGATACAAATTTTCGTCGACGATTTCGGGAACACGGATCAACCGATTTGAATAATTCAAAAAACATTTGATTCGTATTGATAAGGAGACGTGCTGATTAGTTTTTGGCGAAGGCAGGTCTAGCCGTTCCGAAGATACGGAGCAAAAAGTGTCGAAAACGGTAACTCAGGTTTTAAGAGAACGGAGCGTCCGATTTGAATAATTCAAAAAATTTATTTGTATTGACTAAATGAAGAACTGTTCAAATTTTCGGAAAGGCAGGTCCAACGACTTTGGAGATATGAAGAAAAAAGTAAAAAAATGAGCCATTTGGCGGTCAAAATGAACATTAGACATATGCACATCAAATTATCAGATATTTTATAGAGATTTTAACAATAAGTATAAATTTTGTTTACATTCCTATGGGTTCCGTACCAATTATTTACAATTATTTTTAATTACTCGAATTTTGAATTGCGGTACGGGAAGTTTCAGAAATTTGCCTTAAGGCACGATGCCCTAATTGCCGTAAGACAGAATTTCACTTACAGCTAATTTATATTTATATTTTAGCAAGTTCCACTTACATGAATATTGATAATTCTGGGCAAGGGATGTTTTGTATTGGCACCTCCTTCAATGGCGATTCCCAAAATGGGTTTGCTCTTCTTCACAGCAACATGAAGATTTCCTTGCTGATCAGAAACTGCCCTGGGAGTACCGCCTGCTTCACCAGAAGCAGGTGCGCCTCCGAGCCGGGACATTGACTGGTGCCTTCGAACAGGTCCTCCATTTGGACCTGCACTATTATTTGGACCAAGCAAAGCCGTGTCTTCTTTCATATCGAAACTTCGTGAAAGTTTATGGGCCAATTCCTAGCGAGAAAATATTCAACATGTAGGTAATAAGGGAAATGATTGATTATGAGCAAATTCATGGACTGATATAATGATAATTGTATTCGGTATAAGTAAATCAATAGTAAAGAATTAGTGCAGGTTTTCCGATACCCTCATATAGTAGATTTTACTATAATAATACTTCCGAAAATAATAGTTTCAATTCACACGAAGGGCATTCTACTAGTAACGTTTTTTCGACAAATAAGTATATACATATATATTAGAGTGGTCCTCAATATGGACATTTTCGAATTTCTTTGCTCCCAAGGGCTAAAATGCTTCCAAATTAACAAAAAAATCTCGAAATCAAAAATTTAGTATATTCATTATTACCATATGTCAACTAAATTCTTGCTTAAATTCATCACTTAACCTCTATAATTAAATCCATGTGGACTGCTTAACCAAATATGTACCCATCATGGCGTAAAAATTAATTTTGCAGCAAAATATTAATTTAATTGGTGATGTAGACACACAAATTATCAGGAATAAGTTGCCATCAGAACCATATGGCTGTTATCACAGATGGCGCAAGAATTTACTGAATGACATATGTAATTAATGAATATACAAAACTTTTAATAGAATTGCGGACTATCTAAATGTTAATATTTAGAGCTACAACGTTTAGAGATTTTTTTCCATTATTTTGGAAGAATTTGAGCTCTTGGGAGCAAAAGAAATCAAAAACGTCCATATTAAAGACCACCTTGATATCTATATATATATATATATATATATATATATATTGTGTATTATATATATATATATATATATATATATATAATATATATATTGAATCTATTGTAAGTGCTCTGCTCAATAAGATGTCTTAATGTGTTAATAGAGTCTATAAATAGGATTCATATTTACATAATACACAATTTTTCTCAAACCTTGATAAAATTTCTAACTAGTACATCGCAATATTCGTGGTTCTCCGAAAAATTTATGAAAATCCAGAGATGGAAAATGTCTTAAACCTTCATTTTCCGAACTGGAATTGACCGTTCCTTATCAATTATTAGTTTCAGATACATCTTTGTTCTTTAATGCTTTTATTTATTTCGGGATTTTCAGAGTACCATTTTATTTGATTTGATTTTAGTTAGTTTAGTTTCGCTGCACCAGGCATAACATTATCATTTTTTTTTCTAAGGTCTATTTTATCAGTATGAATCAAATCAAATCAAATCACAGAACTAATTTTTTAATTGCAAAATCTATCTCTATTTTATTAAATTATCTCTAATAACTTGAAGTCATTTGCATCTTCTAACTCTACATCTCCTGAATGTGTATTGAATTATTTAAAATATATGATTCAAGACAAATGAATCATAAATGGTTCGATATATGCCAAAGTTCTTGAATCCTTTCTAAAGTGGTACATCTATATAATTATTAGCAAATATTTAAACGTCCTGAATTTTGAAATGTGTGAATAAATTTATGATTCATTCATAAGATTCAGTCCAAAGCGAAAGTACTTGCTTACATTGTTGAGTCACAAACGAAAGTTTTATTTAGTTGTCAATTTGTTTCCTTTTAGCAGAACACACGAACATTAAAAAAATACTCGCAGAGAATATTATTTTTATTTAACCTTAAAAAAACATCAAAATATATTTAAATTTTCAACCCTAACTATGGAATTTATGATATAGCTATTATATACATTTTTCACGTCGGTCCATAGAGTAGTATTTATTCCAAAACATTTGTTGGGGGAAATCAATAAATGAGAGTAAATTGTGAATTGTTGTGAAATTCATTCAAAATTCACATAATTTTTGTTTGTTTTATGAAATCATTGTTATCCAATTAATTTAACAATGCATGATTCTTTATGATGCATTATTGGAAGACAGAAAAAGTAAACTAGTTACAGAGATTACTAATCTGTATTTACATTACGGAAAAATCAGAACGGTTTCCAAATAATTATGGAAAACGATATATATGATATATTGCAAAAGTAAATCTAAAAATTGGCTAATAACAGTACTATCCTAAATAACCGTTCAAAGTTTGCAGCAAGTTTTGCTGCAGGATTTTGCAGATAATTTTGTTGCAGGAGCAAGAAAAATATTTTAATTTTACAATTATTAATTATAATTCAATTCAAATAAAAAAAATCTTAGAGAACATTTTACACATGTTGCACCTTGATCACGCAAAACTTAACTCAACATTATATATATATATATATATATATATATATATATATAAATTCCTTGCTGATTGATAAAAAAAAATCTCTGAAAGTTTTAGCTCTTAATTTTAACTCTAAGATAGTCCGCACTCCAAGGAAGTTTCTTGGTTCTTCTTCCTGAGTAAATACTTATTTTTGAAATATATCAAATTTTTGTAATAAATTTTCAATTTATGATCAAAATAAGCATATAAAATGTTATTCTCAAAATTTTGATTAACTTGTCGCTAAGTTATAAAACAAATGAAATTTTACCCATGTTATTTCCATAGAACCTTCGGTTGGAGTGTGGACTATCTTAAAGTTAATATTATTAAGAGCTAACACTTTCAGAGAATTTTTCTTTATAAATAAGGAAGCATCTGAGCTCCTGACAGCAAGAAAATTCAAAAACATTTACATTAATGACCACCCTAATATATATGAGCTTTAATAGAGTAAATATTATCATTGATTCAATAATATTTACTAAAATTGTGAACTAGTAACGCAAAATACATGAAAATCACATTTGCAAAAAACAGTTAACTAAATTTGCATAAGATTTAATAATGACATTAATTTTTGGTGATAAAAATATTCATGTTTTATTATTGATACGCTGAATGGACTTTAATATAAAATGCACATTAGTAAATCTTATACATAGCAGATATCATTTTGATAAATATGAAAGAACTGACTTTGTGTATCGAGAAAAATCAATTTTAAATAAATTCAGTTTCTTCAATTTATCATAATATGATATCTGATGGAAATATTGGCAAAAGCATGCAAAATAACATTGTGCGGTGCGTAAATTGAAAAAATGTGTGTGAATTAGATATAATAAAGTTCAGTATATTCGATGTGTGCTTTTCTAGGTAAGTATATTTTATTAATAAAGAAAATGATGATTTTTAACTATTTAGATTGGATAGATTGTCTATACAGCATGTCAATCGTTTTAGAAGTAATATGTTTCTAAGAACTAATTAGTATTCAAAAACTAGTATTAGGTATCTAAATAAAATAATGGATGAGTAAATTAATCGAGAGATTTTAGCTGAATGCATCAGAATTGCAAAAAAGTGATCAAACTGATTCAAAACATGTATATCAATATTTTAATTTTCTAAATATAAATAAAACTGATAATGTTTATATTAATCAGCGTAAATTAAATCACATAAACTGAATCAATTCTATAAGTAAATTTAATCAAACCATATCTTGGTTATGTGGAGTAATAGAAGAAATTAACTATAACATAAAAAATCGTAGTGGTTTTTAATATAAAGAAAGCAAGAACTATATTGTAACTTGTCCCTTATAAAAAATCATATTGTTCTTAGCGAAATTTATTTATTTTTAAGTTTTTATCAAATTGTTCACACTGTCAATTCGAAACTGCATTTTTTTCATTGTGGGAGAATGAAATTTTTATCGTAATTACTCCAAAATTTTCAAGAAAATTTCTTAAACTATACAAGAAATATATGTTAGACTATAATTTCCAGCCATTAATTTACAATAAATTGTTCAATATCTACGAGTAAAGTATTGCTTGTAAATTAATTTTTGAAAATAAAATAATTAAAAAGTATATAGAATTTGTTATTTTATGAGATAATGGTATGTTTTCGTCTACATGTTGAAATATTACTATCATGGTTTTTAGTATTGTAGGAGAAATTTTGTTATGAATTATTTTTTCATATGAATTAGTATAAGATACGTTGTATTTACATGATGTAATCAATTTGTTTTTATATTTGTAACTACAACTAAATTATCACTAGTACAAATATTATTAATCGTTTTAATTAATGTATATTCGCACTGTAGATAATTTTGCAGATAAATACAAAAACAAATTAATCACACCTTGCAAAATAATATTAGAAAACAAATGATTCTATTAAATACATATCACTACCTCTACTTTTGTTTGAAGACACAGATGGTTCTAGTGAAATCTATATAACATAATTAGCATGCTCTAATAAAATAATAATAATAATTGAACGATATAAGAAAATTTAATATAATATTTGATGTGTGGTAAAAGTTATTCGCAAATAAATAAAATAAAAAGATTTTTAATTAGGTGTATTTGGCTCGTCTTTTGGCTGAATTTTTTATCAAATCCATCTAGAAATTGCATTTGTTGGAGAAGCTTTGATTATTGGTTGTAACAGAATATCGACTGAATTTATTTGTTATTATGAAATAATTATTAATTATAACAGGCTGGTTATCGTTTGAGGCATATTATATAATCACGATAAAAATCATGATTTAGTTATTTAGAAATATTTTGAATGATTTTGAAATATTTATGGATTTAGAAAAATTAAATGTGGTTCATATTTCTATAACTAAATTGAATAATTTTTAATATGTGATAAAAATTGTATAACAAAAACTCAGTACCTTCTCCACAAATGAGACTAATATTCACAAGTATTATGGTTTACTTCTAACTAATATTTTGTACCATTAGTCAAATTAAAATATTGTATTTCCTATCAGGTTGCCAGAAATATTGTATATTATATTCAATACCGAATTCCAATCATAAAATTATTTTACTTTCAATATCAAAACTATCAATTCAAAGAAAAAAAAGCTCAATTATAATTTATAATTTTGGACTATGATACCAACGGTGTTTTTGGAACTAACAATGAATATATAATAAAATTAATACAATTAGAAGGAATGATAAATAATTATAAAAATGCCTTAAAGTTTGTAATGAAATGCCATATCAAAGTTTTAAAAGCCAAAACCGAATTCTTTCCAATTATGTCGATTATTAATTATTTACACATTATCGGACAGTTTCTGTGAATAGTCTAAGGCAAAATGCCAATTATACCTCAATGAATAAATCTAAGATATCATAAAAATTTCAAGCAAATTTTTACTATTATAAATCGATCAATGGCCAATTATCGATTTTAGAACACAAACTTTTAGCATTAAAAATAGAGCCAAAAGACTAAAGCCAAAGATTAGATTTTATCGCTAATATCTGCCTTTGTTCAAATAATTAATTTACCACATGTAATTATATATATATATATATATATATTCAATATATATACATATATTGAAAATCATACAAATTAACACCATCAAAACTCATACGTTATACCCGAAAATAATTAAATCAAACCAAAATAATTAATTAAAAAACTCAAAGTTATACTATTTGATAAAATACAAGTTTAATTACAAATTTAGTTAGATTAAATTTTGAAAAATAATTTTTATCATAGTGAATTACATATCTACAAGTGCCAATTACTACTGATCTATAGTGAAACACGACTACCGAAGTGATCCATGAATGAATTTAAACATTTAGAGAAATAAAAAAGTGCTAACATTCCTTTTCAATGATTTTTTGAGAGTCAGGCTGAGAAAATCCGTAAGCATCAACATGCTTTGGAAAAGATGAAAAATGTTAGATAAATATTGAGCTATTAGAATGCAGATAACTAATTTGATTGTTAGTTGATGCACACATAGACGAAACTAACGTTATGGAATATATTGAAGATGTTTTTTAGAAGTCATGACCATAAAGAGAAAAGAACCAATAATAATATTTAAATTATATGAAATTATCTATCAATATCTAATACGTAGATTTTATTTTTATATTTAGTAGCTTGATTCAATACGATGGCTTTCATTAGTAAAACATAAATATTTTTTGATTTGGATAGGCAAACTAGGTATTTTATTTATAAATTTGTTAATAGTATCATATTTATCAAATAATTAAAAATGTTTTCATAATGTAGACATTTATTTCTAAACAAGTTGATTCAAACCTAAATAGGGAAGGACAAGGAAATCTTTGATTTGTGGTGCTCTGACATGATGGACCTGCCTTCGGTCAGACTACCGTTTATTATTAAAAGTTAATTTAAAGAATTCTCATTGCGGTATTGTAGTAAAATGTGAAATTTTTTTCTAAAATTTCAAATTTTGGCAGACTACAAAGATGGCAGATTTCAAAGATTTGCAGACTACTCACACAAAAAAGTGCATTCTATTGGTACAGACAAAAAAATTAATCCAATTTTATGAAAATGCTATAAAATAAGTGCTAAAGATAACCAAATATCTGGTTTTATAAAGATGAGATAATTCCGTATATTTTTTTCTAAAACTTCTCATTGAAGATAAACTAGCTAGGCGACAAAGTATTCAATTAATAATTTCACTTTATAGAGAGAAATCGGTATACAATTTTCTATTGTGATACTGTGTTAAATTATGTTATTAAAAATTCAAAGTTAGTCTGCCTTATTCTTATTATTGCATGTATTATCCATTAATTGTATATGGATATGAAAAAATAGATAGGATAGATAGAGCGATGAAGATAAAATGTTAGACTAGCACAATTCGGCATGAAAATGAACAGCCGTGATATAATTTTCCTTTGCATCATCAATTAATTAAATTTAGCCATCGTAGTAGGTACTCAATCCTTTACCATCTAAAATATTGGTTCAATTCTGTATGATTGGTTTTAATTGATATTAAAAATTTGTGCAGACAAAAATGAAATTTGAATAGGAGGTCATGACAACGCGCACACGCACAATGTCATTTTGCACTTACTAAAGGTCTTCCCCAGTACCAAGATTTAACTCTTTGCGTCCACCCGCCCAGCTGTGACCGGAGTCCCTCCAAGTAACCACACTGAAATCACATCACAACACAATACAATAAGTACAACACATTACATTTGGATAAATGATTTACAAACACATGTGAATATTATACATTTATATCTATTATATGTAATAAATACTATGTATACATTATGGATGTTTTCGAATTTCTTTGCTCCCAAGGGCTCAAATGCTTCCAAATTAATTTAAAAAATTCTTTGAAAGCTTTAGCTCTTAATATATTAACACCAATATAGTCCGCTCTCCACCAAAAGTCTCTTGGTTCTTCTTCATAAGTAAATACTTATTTTTTGAATATATCAAATTTTTGTTGTAAATTTTTTATTTATTATCAAAATAAGCAAATACAATGTTCTGCAATGAAATTCTCAAAATTTTGGTTTACTTGTCGCTAAGCCATAGAAGAAATGTAATTTTATTCGTGTTATTTCCATAGAAACTTTTGGTTAGATTCCAGAGCTGTTTTTTCAACAATTTGGAAGCTTTAAGCTCCGGGGAGGAAATTCGAAAACACCCATGTTAAGAACCACTCTAATATATATATATATATATATATATATATATATATATATATACAAATTTTATTTACTAGCAGTTATCATAGAACGTACTCATGCTTGCATTATTCAGAGAAGAATATATATAAGAAGACTTAGTATTTGTTTGAAATGATCATCCATTTAGTTCTATCTATAATTCATTAAATTATTTTATCAAGACGTTTTTAAAAAAGATTCATAATTGCTCATAGTCAATCGATTAAGAAAAGTATAAATCCACCTGAAAACAATAATTTTTGGCAAACATTATATGGCATCTATTTATGATATTTTTCAACTTCCCATAGAGTAAGTTTTAGGGAATTCAAAATTTTTGCATATACTCTGTTTTCAAAGGTTTCTGAACATTTGGCATACCTCAGACAAAATGGATGTGTATGTGTGTATGTATGTGTGGATACAATTTGTTGTCGACTTTTTCGGGAGTACAGCCCAACCGGTTTGAATGATTGAAAAAGCAATCGATTCCTATTGATAGGAAAATGTGCTGATTAGTATTTTGTAAATGTCGGTCTAGTCGTTTTGGAGTTACGGAGCAAAGAGTGCAGAAAATAGAAATCGAGCTTTTGAAAGAACGGAACATCCGATTGGAATGATTCAAAAAAATTCAATTAGTAATGATGGGAAGAAGTGGTAATTAACTTTCAGCAAAGACAGGTCCAGCCATTTTGAAGATACTGAGCTAAATGTGCAAAAAATGGCAGTTTTTGAGAGAGCTAAGCCTCCGATTTGAATGATTTAAAAAACTATCTGCTGGTGTTGACGAAATAATTGCTTTTAGTTTTTTTTATATATCGACAACAATTCGGATTTTAATTTTAATTCTGGCCAAAGTTCTAAAACTCACCTATATAATTTGAATAAATAATTTTAATTTTGCAATTCAGTTTATATAATTCTTATAAATATTAGACAATGTTACTGTTTTTATAATAATCTATTTAAAAACATTTAATATTCCTCGAATATTTAATTTCGTTTCTAATTTGCCTTAAGGCACGATGCCATAGATCACCAGTTCATTTTATGAATGTAAGAATTGTATAATTTGTAATTATTATTTTGTATAATTAATCATTAATTGTATTACTAGTATTAGTTTTTCTGTAATCGTAGTTGATACACATGAACATGCACTTCAAGTGGAATAATTTATTGAGATTATCTAGAAATTGAAAGTAATTTTTTCCATATTTTTACGTTCCAGATTTTTTGATCTATCTAAGGAATAGATATAGCCCTGTATATAAATAATCTGATGTTTAAATATAATTTTCTGGACACGATTTTTAGGAAAAATATTAAAAAAAAAACAAAAGGTGTATGTTTGCCAAGCAAAAAAATAATTTTACAAAATCTAGGATTCCGCATTTGTCCAACAAAATTTTTAGAACTTATTCATGAAGAAGACTCTGAACCAATTATTTTAGCAAAATCTGCGAATATTGTCCATAGATTAAAAATATCTGTGCGAAGTTTCCGTGAATCTACTCAAAGTATAACATTTTTTGACAAGAGACAGTTTCAAAAATGACTGGAATAGTAATGATGTCGAACAACGAAAAAGTTTACGTGGTCTCTGATATTTTTATTAATGCATAAAATGTTAGTGAAGTATTTTGTTTATATTTGTTGATAGATTTTAAAATGCAATCTTGAAGATCAGAATTCTTCGAAATACGCTTATTTGTTGAGAACAAAAAAGCTGACTAAATGGACAAAATGAACATCAACAAACCATGAACAATAAAGATCATGTGGGGTACAAAAACCTATGCATGGAAGGAATTTTCTTGCAGTTTACTATTTGATAATGGCTTTCAGTATCAATATAACATTAGCTCTAAGATTTCATGCTTATAATCTCTACTTTAAATCTCGAATCGTCGGCCTATGTCGTTAAAACTAATAACATCTCAAATAAGATGAAAATAAAATTGAGACAAACTGATTGTTAAATGCACGACAAACGAATAATGAGTAGCTGACACCACAATGGTGGAATAAATGATAGTTTAGTAACATTATATCCATTGTATATAAAATCTTAATAAAAATTAGAATGTTCCAGCAATTTCAAAAACTACCATCATTTGTGTTAAATTAAAATTATATACACATGTGGCTACTTTTAAGTGGTGAGACTGAGTTGCAAACATTTCCATAAACATTATGAGCCCCATAATAACAAGGTGGCAGAATTAAAAAATTAGAAATTAAAAGTTTTAAACGTGTGCAACGCCGTTTTACTTTAATTGTAGGGATTCAGGTGTATGCATTTCATAGAATTTTTTGCAGTATTTGCCATCAACAGCAATCAGTCCAACGAGTCCTATGAGATATTGTGATGACTTCTTAATGATGTGGTTGGACAAATAGCAACCCAACGCTTGCCTAACCTCTATTTGATGATTTTTTAGAACTTCGTGAATTATTCTTTAGAATCAATAACATATTGATAAAATAAATACAAGATACTCGATTATTTTGAGCTCAACGTCGCGCGGCGATATTGAAAAGACAAGCCAGTTCATAAACGCAGGACAAAAAGACGCTAAAAAGTATTTTTCAAGGATATCGCAGAGCATTGGGTATATCATTAACATTAATACAGCGTTTCAACAATCTTTATACGAACCTTCATTATTAATAATTTAAAAATTCCATTTAACGACAATAGTGATTTAACAATTCACTAAATAAGACGTATTATACGAGAATTTCTAAGAATAATCTTTATTTACTTTTCTAGTTTTATGTTATTATTGTGATTTTTTAACTTCCCGAAGGAGAAGTTTATGTTTTCGCTATTGTAATAAAGTGTTGAAAAAAGTTTTTTCTACGATTTTTATGATTTTTTTGACAGTAGATACCATAGTCTTATAGATCATACTAAAATATTACGGCCCTACAACAACTCGTTTAACTTTAAAAATTCGTCAAAGTTTGCAAAACTTAGTATTGTTTTTTTAGCATTTGTCAAAATTAGACCTTTGATCGACGTTCTCTCAAAAACGCCAGAACCGATTTTAGAAATCTAAAAGCCATTTGATGTATCTCATTGAGAACTATCGTTCGTCAGTTTTGGATGGTCTGCCGAGCCGTTTCTTTGTAATTTGAAAAATAGTGTTAAATTTCTCGTCCACATTTAAGCTCAAACTACCAAATCAAATTTAAAAAATCAAAAACTGTTCGCAAAAATTTAATTTGGAATGATACTGATTAGTTTTAGGTGAAAATCTATCGAGCCGTTTTCTGGTAATTAACTGTTGACAAAAAAAATAAGCCGATTTTATAGAACTTTTTTTGGCGATATATATCTTATAGAACTTACTGAAATATTACAAGCTTACGACAAGTAGTTTAATTTTAAAAATTCATCAAACTTTGAAAAAAGGAGTAGTTTAAAATTTACTTGGTATAACGATAGAGTACTTGGTCTTAATAAATATACTAAACCATTAAAGTCCTACAAAAACTATAATATAATTTTCCAAAATTAAAGGATATATTGAATAAAAAAGTAATTTAGACTGTAAGTCTTATATTTCTTTCTATAAATTTATATTGTTCAATTGAGTAAATGATGTAGAATCACTGATATGTCGCATAGTCTTAAGAAATTACGGTTTATGATTGTCAATAAAAAGATATTCATATCAATAAGTTATTGTAACTTTATAAATAGCTTGATTAAGAATTAGCACGTAGAAGATCGCAATGATTGGCAACATAGTCGAGAAACTTAATATTTTGCAGGGATAATAAATATTTTTAGTTTGAGCATGTTTTGTACCCTACAAGAAATGCAGAAAATGTTAAATATTTAACAATACTAGTTTATAGTCCAGAGAAAAAATCGCAAGGTTAAACTTTTTCAATTTTTGAATTAAAATAGCGCATTAACTGATATACCAACAATTATATTGAATTAAACTCATAAAGAGTTGACTTGTCCAATATTTTGTTAAAACCGTGCTTTGATGATTTTTTTTAACAAAATTGAACGAGATTTTTTCTTGATACTTCTTACTCCTAATTTTTTTAATTTTTGTATAAATATTAAAGTTTTTTAGATTGTAAATGAATATTAGAGTTTTTGAATGGTAGTCTTATTCTATTACATAATGGTTCCAATAAGACTATTAATTTTCTTTTATTTGTTTTACATACATATTTAAAATGCAAAAATGCAATTTGAGAAGAAATAATATAGAATATTAAACTATATTAGCTTATTATAAAAATGTTCCTAATACATATAAATTATTTTAAAAATATTTAAGTGTTGCACTATGTAATTTTCAGAAATATTTTTGCATAGTATGTATTTGTATTTGAATGTTCATTGAATGTTCTATAATTCGTCAATCAAAAGGTATATTTTCTTTTATGTATTTACTTAAAACTGGAATTATCTTTTCTAAAGTAGTATATACATTCAATT